CTTAAAATCCCCACAATGCTTTGCGCACGGACCAATTTCCCCACATTTGTGGCGGAAGATGTAAGGCGGGGCCTCTCATATGACGCACACCTGCACACTTGCTAGCGTGTTCCACTCTTCGTTTTCCGAATGCCAGGAAGTATTCTTGACTCGCTTCTGAAGCAAGATGCTCGGCAGACATGTGCTACCAAGCAAGCGTACTCGCGATTGAGAAACACCCAAAGTGTGCGTAGATGCAGCGGACAGACAGGTCTCAGTTGGTTTGGTGTCCTCTGCCTACTTTTAATACTTGTAAATAAAACTTTTGGCCCGTAATTTATTTTCCTCATTGTAGCGACCAGAGAGGGGAGAGGGGGGGGGATATATCCAGTCTCTGATAGTGTTACGTTATTATGAGAGTGCTCTGTTTGATTCTGAAATTGTATATATTTATATAAATATATATGTGTGTGTGTGTGTGTGTGTGTGTGTGTGTGTGTGTGTGTGTGTGTGTGTGTGTGTGTGTGTGTGTGTGTGTGTGTGTGTGTGTGTGTGTGTGTGTGTGTGTGTGTGTGTGTGTGTGTGTGCGTGCATCTGTAGCCTGGTATTAGGCTTGTTTGAGACGAGCTGCGGCTCGCCTCGAAAGTAGACGAGAATAGCCGATTGCAGCCGGGGGAGGTCTCAAAAAGCTCGCCTGAAGTCGGACAGCTCGGAGTCGGCTTCTTCTTCTTCTCTCGGTTTTTGGCGGATTGCAAACAACTTTAAGGTGCATACCGCCACCTACTGTACAAGAGTGTGTATCACCATATCAACCTATCACCACTTGTGGAATTATACCATGTATTTACGTTGTTTTAAATTCTTCCAATCAATCCTGTTTCATTCAAATATTTAAGAATGGCCTTCCTGGTAGCTCTTACCCCCTCACCTTCTGTCCCCAGTGTCCCCATCAGGCTCCACTCCCTTCCTGCCTCTCTGACCCTGTCTCTTAGGTTTTCCCTCTCTGTTTTGTACATGTTGCAGTGTAATACGATGTGTTCCACATTTTCTTTCACTCCACACCCCCTGCATTCTTCAACTTCGCTTTTTACCATTATAAACATTGTGCCGTTTAATCCTGTATGATCCAATCTGAGTCTAGTGATGATGATCTCCTCCCGTCTGTTCCTTTCTGTATAGATCTTTGTTATGACTGATTTCTGTAACTTGTGGTATCTCCTCCCTTTCTGATCTTCCTCCCACCTTTTCTGCCATATTTCCATACCTTCTTAATTATTGCTTTTCCTTCTCCTTTTCCAAGTGAAACTGGTATTGCTATTTCCTTCTGTAACGCATCTTTTGCTAATTTATCAGCATGCTCATTCCCTTGAACCCCCTCATGTGCAGGCACCCAGCATAACACATCTATTCCCCTCCTCTGAAGTCTCAGTAAGCAGTGGTTAAGTTCAATAATGAAATATTCTCTAACAGTTATTGTCGACTGTATGCTTTCCAAAGCAGATAGTGAGTCTGTGCATATCACCACCCTATCTGACTTCTTCAACCCATTGTAGCCCAATAACTGCTGCGAGTATTTCTGCTGTATAAACTGATAAGTTAAGTGACACTCGTTTTGAGATTGATATTTTGAATTCTGGTATATACACGCCTATCCCCACGCATTCTTGCTTCTTAGATCCATCTGTATACATTTTGAGGTAATTGTAATACTTTTTGTTCAGGTACATATTCGTTTTAATTCCCACTTCATTTATTTGCCACTGTTTTTTCCTTTCTATGAAACTCACATCTATGTTAGCTTCTGGGAAAAGCCATGGGGGAACACTGCTAAATGGGCTTGCTTTGGCAAACTTTATGGTCTCCACTCCATATGCCCTCGTTCTCTCCTTACTCGTCCAGCCAAACCCACGCCCCTGGAACTTTGTATATTCCCAGCAATCCTGTAGTTTTCTGTTTGTGATATTTTCCTCTCCACTTCCTTGTAGCCTGACCCAGTAGGCCTATGACAGAGCAAGTTTCTCTCTTCATGCACAAATGTGTTTAATCGTTAATGTCAGATATGTACTAAGTAAATACATTTGTTCCTGCTCAAGATTAGATTCAACTTTATTGTTATTGCACAGATTATAGGTACTGAGACAACGAAATGCAGTTTAGCTTCTAACCAGGAGTGCAAAAAGCAGTAAAGTGAAAAGTAATGTCCACAATCTACAGAATAAAATATAGAATGAATTGAATGATGAATACACAGTGAGGGGTATGAATACACTATATACACAGTAGCCTAGCCTAGTATTAACAGTGTGTTGTATGAATATGCTAAGATATATAAAGTATGAAAACGGTAAGCAGTGCAAGTATAGTATAAAATATATAGATATTAATGTCATGATGATAAACATTGTGGAACAATGATGAAAAATGTGAATGGAAGTGGCGACGTAAAACTGACACAAAACAACAACACACTTTTGCCGAGCCAATGGAGAGTTTCATCTCCAGCACGGGGTAAAAACCACCAATGAGCGCTCAGCTCGAGATACCAGCGAGTCGTTTCCCATCAAGCATTTCGCTTCCGCAGCCCGTGGAGAGAAACTGCGCCGCCTCGCCGTGCCTCGCTCTCAAGTCTGCGGGCGTCTTTGTCCCGCGAGATTTCAACGTCTCATGTAGGCGAGCCTCCAGAGCAAGTCGGACACAATGACTAACCATCATGCAACGCACTAGCAAGACGTTGATCGCAATTGCGCAGGTCTGCGCAGGTCTCGCTTGTCTCAAACAAGCCTATTGTCTCATTATACCGCACTGTGAATGAATCAAAGTAAATATATAAGTCGTCATGAACACATCTGTCCATCAGACAGAGGGCTGCTGTGCCTCCTGTCATCATTAATGGACGTCTCTTTAAAATGACCGCTCAGAGGAGAGGAGTTCTCATTTCTCTAACCGCCTGCTGCTTCCCCTCCTCTCTCCTCGGTTCCCCTCCTCTCTCCTCGGTTCCCCTCCTCTCTCCTCGGCTCCCCTCCTCTCTCCTCGGTTCCCCTCCTCGGCTCCTCCGCTCGCATCTCCTGTGGGCGGGACTAAGTCTCGAGGATAGGAGTCGAGGAGGGGAGTCGAGGAGGGGAATTTGATGAAATGAGAACGGCCCCCGCTCTCGCTAAACTGTCCTACGACGCTGGTTATCAACTCGATCGCAAGCCAGCCGTGTCCTATCTAGTTAGGTGCGCGTTCACATGAAAGGGGTGGTATCTGGAGCATTCGACCAATCACAAACATGGACAAGCGTACTGACAGCGCAGCGTCATACTTCCTGAATGAAAAGTGAACTTTAATATGAGTCAAATATGAAGAAGTTAAACTTTAAACATCCATGACTTAAACACTTTATCCAGGATCAAAGCCACATAGCTGCACCTGCAAGGTGAATACAGCTGGTAACAGAAAAAGTGTTTGAATGCGTACATTAACAGGTTTATGAAATCACTGCCCCGTCCAAGACACGATCTGACTTTAATTACATTTGACTCGAGTGTTTCGTCAACTTAATGGCCGTTTCTCAATCGCGAGGATGCTGGCTTGGTAGCACAGCCGAGCTGAGCATCTTGCTTCAGAAGCGAGGCAAGAATACTTCCTGGCATTCGGAAAACAAAGAGTGGAACAGGCTAGCAAGTGTGCAGGTGTGCGTCATATGAGAGGCCCCGCCTTACATCTTCCGCCACAGATTTGGGGAAATTGGTCCATGTGCAAAGCATTGTGGGGATTTTAAGGACGTGAAGTCTACCCATGTGTAGCCTCGAAATTTCCCCCAAACCAAGGATGCGGCCTCGGTGGAATTCCAAGTATGCTGGAGATTGGAACAGTCCTTCGGCGGCACTCGATGACGTAGCATCCTTGAAATATTGGCTTGGAAGCCAATATCCTCGCGAAAGAAACGGCCAAAGTGTTGCTTAAAATAATACTTCTGCATACAGTATGTGACACTGTGAGTGTTGCACGGCCAGATACGGCTCAAGAAGCTGACTCAGATAAGGAAATATATGATAAATTATGATGTGATATGATGTGATATGAATGATAATGGGACACATCGACGTCTGCACTCACAGTGCCGCGGACTGTAGGCTACGTAATGTTACTTTGATCCGGTTACTTATGTTGTGGCAGATATTTAATTAAGCTTTCTTAACATAATAGTATAATAATAGTATAATAGTTATAGGCTAATAGTCAGATTGCTCTGAAGATGGGAGGTGATATTCTATTCATTTTCACATTCACACAGTCGGTGATTTTGGCCGGCCGTCTTTCCTGCAACGGCAGTTTAAACTGTATTTCCTCCGCACACTGAGCTCTGATTGGTCAGCAGGCGGTGCTTTCACTGAGTTGATGATCTCTTATCCTGGAACCTATCCTGCTTCGGAGCAGACTACGTTCCAGGATAAGTTACCGTGGAGATCTAGCCCGCTAAAAAGTGAACCAGCTTCGTAGGACCGGAAACCCCTGAAGTTAGCTTGCTAAACGAAAATCTTGCTTCGTAGTATAGGCCCCAGGCCTCAGCTCGAGTGCGCAAGAATTTGAAAGTACAGACTTCCTCACAGAGCCCCTCCCCAACACACACGAACACACACATGACCAATGAGTGCACAAGATGAGTTTGTGCACAGATGGAAGGCTGTCAGGCAGGTAGGCCATCCAGTTATCTGCCGCGGGCCGAGGCAGATGATTGGTCGTGCTTTTTACAGAGCCACGGCTTCCACAGATGTTTGTTTTCATGTATTTATTGTCAAAGCTTTTCATGTATTCATTGCTATCGGGATGTTAAGAGCATTCCATGGATAATAACAAAAAGTGTTTCTGAAATAAATGACCTACCCCACCTTTAACTCTAAATTAGTTTTAAAACTTTTGATCACGTGATCCCAACTCGTGTGGCCCTCATCCTCTTCCCTATTGGCCCGCTCGCTCCCGGGACGACGTCATGACGTCAGCCGCCCTGCGTCAGTGTGCAGGAATTTGCGGAAACTTCTTCACTTGTCTTTCTGCTGTTCGTCGAGGAAAAAGAGCCCGAAACTGGACAGAAAGAGGACGGAAAGAGGACAGAAGAGGACAGAAAGAGGACAGAAAGAGGAGGACATTCTCCCGGAGCTGAAGGTGAGTCTCAGGGCTTTGTTCCGGGCTGTTTTAGAGCGAAACAGACCCGGAAAGTAGTTGAGAGTTTGAGGGAAAATGGAGTCTGAGAGGAAGGCGCTGTCCGGGGCTGATCAGGACCACGGAGAGAACAACACCTTCAAACGCTTCAAACACGCTTTCAATCCCCTTCAATCTCCTTAAGTCACTCCGGAAACACTGTGTACTCACTTTATGATCTGTATGACCACTTTAAATCACGATATCATCACTTTATACCACTTTAAATCACGATATCATCACTTTATACGCACTTTTTTAACACTTTTAATAACCGACCAGGACCAAGGAGAACACCGCTAACAGAAACCCGTCATTACCACGGTCACTTTAACCACTTTTAATCACTTTATAATCACTTTAGACTCAGTTTAAATATCCTTATTACCACTTTAAACTCTTTATAACCACTTTTAATCACTCTGAACCACTTTAAATATCTTTACAATCACTTTAGACTCAGTTGAAATATCCTTATTACCACTTTAAACTCTTTATAACCACTTTAAATCACTTTAAAAACTGTGGGTGTGGGTGTGTCGCTGTCTCTCGGCCTGGTGCTGCTCTAAAATGGCCGCCACGCTTCACAGTTTCCACATCTGTTTCTCTAACATCTTCTACTTAAAGGTGGGGTAGGTAAGTTTGAGAAACCGGCTCGAGATACACTTTTTGTTATATTCCATGGAATGCTCTTAACATCCCGATAGCAATGAATATTTTAAGTGCTTTGACAAAAAATCCATAAAAAATGTCATCTGTGGAAGCCGTAATACTGTAAAAAGTACAACCAATCATTTGAGCCGGCCCGGCTCAAATAACTGGATGGCCTACCTGCCTGTCAGCCTTCCATCTGTGCACACATTTATCTCGTGCCCTCATTGGTCATGTGCGCGTTCGTGTGTGTTGGAGGAGGGGCAGATCTTTTCCGGTTGTGTATTTTCAAATTCTAGCGCACTCGAGCTGGTTTCTCCAAAATTACCTACCCCACCTTTAAGGTCTATATTTAAAGGGGACCTATCATGCAAAATGCACTTTTGTACGTCTTTTATACATGAATATGTGTCCCCGGTGTTCCAGGGAACCCACCAAGTGTCAGAAAACACAACCCTCTCTATTTTCCTCCATACCCAAATCTCTAAAAAAGGGGCTGCAACGGATCTGATAAAAACTGATCCAGATTTGAACTTGTGGCGCTACGGCTATTGGGCCAACTCCACCAATCAGGAGGAGACAGCCACGGCCATTGCCGTTCGAAAGCGCTGGAGACGCTGTAGTACATATGCCAGGCCAGTAGATGGTGCTGTTCTCACTGAATCTGCCCTTGCAAAAACAGAGCTACAAATTGAGCAAAATGAGGCAGAGGGGGGGGGGTTCAAATGTGAAAAGTGACGCGGGGCTCCGTTGGCGGGGCCCAGCGCCCCTCCAAGACAATGGTAGGGGAAACACTGTAACTAACTAATAGATGGCGTGTTATAGTAGATTATCAGTGAGGTAATTAATGATCAATAATACAAATCTGTATTATTCTTACTCGGTAGGATTATAATCAGAGTTGTAAAAACATGTTTTAAACCTGGTGTTTTATCTTCCCTTTTTAATCTCTCATCAAACCAAGTACTCAGATTATTCACTGGAGTAGAAGTACTGATACTAGGGCTGTGCGATTATGGCAAAAATCATAATCACGATTATTTGGGTCAATAATTGATATCACGATTATTAAATACGGTTATTCATTGACTTTGAAAAAATCCATTTATTGAACTTTAAAACAAATACAAATAATAATTTGAACAGTATCTTTTTAACTGTTGATTACCCTGAACGTATAATGCAACTGAAAAACCAATACAAAAATAAATAAAATAAATGATACATTTAAATAAATAATATCAAAATAATAAATACCAATAAACAAGATCAACAAATATTTTGGAGCGCACTTCCACAAGCTACTAAACATATATAAATATGATAAATACAAATAAATGAGACCAAAATTAATTAGATCAAATATGTTGCAGTGCACTGTCACAACCTAGCAAAGCAAAATAATTGTTTTTTTCGATTATGTTGTTTTCGTAATTGTGGCAGGCCAAAATCGTAATTGCGATTAAAATACGATTAATTGCACAGCCCTAACTGATACTACGGTGTACAAATACTCTGTTACAAGTGAGAGTAATGCGAGAAGGGTACTTAGGTACAAGCTTTGAAAGGTCTCCTATCCTGCAAAAGACACAAAGTGATGTCTTCTCTACATCACCATGTGTCCCCGGTGTGTCAGGAGACTCACTAAGTGTCAGGAAATAAACCCCTCTCTTCCTCCGTACCCACATCTCTAAAATGGGGGAACAACGGAGCTGAGAGAGAGAAAGAGTTTGAGCTCCATACTGTTTCAGAGAGAATCCTTGATGTGGTTTGGAACATGATATGAAGTTTCATCACGGCAGCGTTTAGCTGAGTTTCTGCTGGGAGAGTTCTCCTGATGAGATCTCTCTCTCTAAAGCTACAGACCCAGAGACATGTCCTTAGTAACAGCTGGAAGAGAGGGGGGGGGGCTATAAGGATCTGTTTGGGGTTAGGAGCAGAACACTTCAGAGACATGTCCTTAGTAACAGCTGGAAGAGAGGGGGGGGGGGGCTACAAGGATCTGTTTGGGGTTTGGAGCAGAACACTTCAGAGACATGTCCTTAGTAACAGCTGGAAGAGAGGGGGGGGGGGCTACAAGGATCTGTTTGGGGTTTGGAGCAGGGCACTTCAGAGACATGTCCTTAGTAACAGCTGGAAGAGAGGGGGGGGGGGCTACAAGGATCTGTTTGGGGTTTGGAGCAGGGCACTTCAGAGACATGTCCTTAGTAACAGCTGGAAGAGAGGGGGGGGGGGCTACAAGGATCTGTTTGGGGTTTGGAGCAGGGCACTTCAGAGACATGTCCTTAGTAACAGCTGGAAGAGAGGGGGGGGGGGGCTACAAGGATCTGTTTGGGGTTTGGAGCAGAACACTTCAGAGACATGTCCTTAGTAACAGCTGGAAGAGAGGGGGGGGGGGGGGCTATAAGGATCTGTTTGGGGTTTGGAGCAGAACACTTCAGAGACATGTCCTTAGTAACAGCTGGAAGAGAGGGGGGGGGGGCTACAAGGATCTGTTTGGGGTTTGGAGCAGAACACTTCAGAGACATGTCCTTAGTAACAGCTGGAAGAGAGGGGGGGGGGGGGCTACAAGGATCTGTTTGGGGTTTGGAGCAGGACACTTCAGAGACATGTTTTTATATCTGAGAGCTTTGATATGCCTAAAGACAGTATAACAGGAGACCTTTAATTCAGTTTCTTCCTCTCTGTGTCCCCAGCTTCTCTCCTGAGGAAGTCAACATGGCCGCTCAGACACTGTTCCCGGTGTTTCCTGCTGACGGGGGTCACAGCGAGCTGCCCCCCCCCCCAGCTGGTGTTTCCTGCTGACGGGGGTCACAGCGAGCTGCCCCCCCCCCAGCTGGTGATGCTGGCCAACGTGGTGGCGGCGGGGGAGGGGGGGGCCGAGGAGGAGAAGGAGATGATGGAGCTGAAGACGGTGGGCTGCAGCTACTCCGACAGCGAGGAGGAGAGCATCATCAGGTGGGAGCTGCTGGTTGTTAGTAGTAGTAGTTGTTGTTGTTGTTGTTGTTGTTGTTGTTAGTAGTAGTAGTAGTTGTTTTTTTGTTGTTAGTAGTAGTAGTTGTTAGTTGTTGTTGTTGTTGTTGTTAGTTGTTGTTGTTGTTGTTGTTAGTAGTAGTTGTTGTTAGTAGTAGTAGTTGTTAGTTGTTGTTGTTGTTGTTAGTAGTAGTAGTTGGTTGTTGTTGTTAGTAGTTGTTTTGTTTTTGTTGTTAGTAGTAGTAGTAGTAGTAGTTGTTGGTTGTTGTTAGTAGTAGTTGTTGTTGTTGTTACTAGTAGTAGTAGTAGTTGTTGTTGTTGTTGTTAGTAGTAGTTGTCAGTAGTAGTTGTCAGTAGTAGTTGTCAGTAGTAGTAGTCGTTGTCAGTAGTTGTCAGTAGTAGTAGTCAGTAGTAGTTGTCAGTAGTAATAGTAGTAGTAGTCAGTAGTAGTTGTCAGTAGTAATAGTAGTAGTTGTCAGTAGTAGTAGTTGTCAGTAGTAGTTGTCAGTAGTAATAGTAGTAGTTGTCAGTAGTAGTTGTTAGTAGTAGTAGTAGTAGTTGTCGTTGTCAGTAGTAGTTGTCAGTAGTAGTTGTCAGTAGTAATAGTAGTAGTTGTCAGTAGTAGTAGTTGTCAGTAGTAGTTGTCAGTAGTAGTTGTCAGTAGTAATAGTAGTAGTTGTCAGTAGTAGTTGTCAGTAGTAATAGTAGTAGTTGTCAGTAGTAGTAGTTGTCAGTAGTAGTAGTAGTAGTTGTCAGTAGTAGTAGTTGTCAGTAGTAGTTGTTAGTAGTTGTCAGTAGTAATAGTAGTAGTTGTCAGTAGTAGTAGTTGTCAGTAGTAGTAGTAGTAGTAGTAGTTGTCAGTAGTAGTAGTAGTAGTTGTTAGTAGTAGTAGTAGTAGTTGTCAGTAGTAGTTGTCAGTAGTAATAGTAGTAGTTGTCAGTAGTAGTAGTTGTTGTTGTTGTTGTTAGTAGTAGTTGTCGTTGTCAGTAGTAGTTGTCAGTAGTAGTAGTTGTCAGTAGTAGTAGTTGTCAGTAGTAATAGTAGTAGTTGTCAGTAGTAATAGTAGTAGTTGTCAGTAGTAGTAGTTGTCAGTAGTAGTAGTAGTAGTTGTTAGTAGTTGTCAGTAGTAGTTGTCAGTAGTAGTAGTAGTAGTAGTAGTAGTAGTAGTTGTCAGTAGTAGTAGTTGTCAGTAGTAGTAGTAGTAGTAGTAGTTGTCAGTAGTAGTTGTCAGTAGTAGTAGTAGTTGTCAGTAGTAGTTGTCAGTAGTAGTAGTAGTAGTTGTCAGTAGTAGTTGTTGTTAGTAGTAGTTGTCAGTAGTAGTCAGTAGTAGTTGTCAGTAGTAATAGTAGTAGTTGTCAGTAGTAGTAGTTGTCAGTAGTAGTAGTAGTAGTTGTCAGTAGTAGTTGTTGTCAGTAGTAGTTGTCAGTAGTAGTAGTAGTTGTCAGTAGTAGTTGTCAGTAGTAGTTGTTGTTAGTAGTAGTTGTCAGTTGGTAGTAGTAGTAGTAGTAGTAGTAGTAGGTAGCAAGGAACAGACCAGCTACTGAGAACTGGTCCTGTCCGAGTCTTTTTTTTCAAGGTTAGGGTTAACCCAATAGTGCAAGAACACTAACCAGTAAACACTAACTGTTGTCTCCACATTCTGCTCTCTTGATGCTCAGCTACAGCTATGATAACCAGAACCACAGGGAGGTGTGTATCGTTGAATATCCTGAGTCTCCCAGGATCAGCTCCGCGGTGGCAGGAGACGACTCGGAGGAGAACGGGGACAAAGCTGAGGAGAAAGCTGAGGAGAAAGCTGAGGATCTGTCCCGCCCCCCCGTCGTACCCAAAACCCCCCCACCAGATCCCCGCCCTCTCCCAGAGCCCCGCCCCCCCCCCCGGATGGCACCAAAAAGAAGAAGCCCTTCCACTGCAAGCCCTGCCGCTTCCAGGCCTCGAGCGAGCGGGAGTTCGTGGAGCACCTGGGCTCCCACGGGGCGAGCAAGATGAGGGTGGTGGACCGGGTGGAGGGCCGCAGCAGGGGGGAGAGCGGGACCGGGGGGGATGGAGAGACCACCGAGGGAGAGGGGGAGAGCGGGGGGGAGGGGGACATCAAAGGGCTGATCCGCTGTGAGCGCTGCGGATACAACACCAACAGATACGACCATTACATCGCTCACCTGAAGCACCACAGCAAGGAGGGCGAAGACCACAGGTGAGACACACATTACCACCACACTATATTAACTGAAGCTGACCAGGTGAGACACACATTACCACCACATTATATTAACTGAAGCTGACCAGGTGAGACACACCTGATCAGCTTCAGTTACACCCAGATACCACTGAGAGGGTTCAGGGGCAGGAAGAGAACTCAATAGGCGCGTTCACACCGGAGTACTTTTCCCACAATAGTTCATCAGAACTCAGATATATTTGCGTTCACACCAAAAAGCCCCCTGAACTAAATTAGTTCATCAGAACCATTTTTACCCCCTTTTCAGTCCCTGCTAGAGAGCAGGGACTGAAAAGGGGGTAAAAATGGTTCCTATGTCTGATTGGCTGGGCGGATTGCAAACCACGCCCCGTAAAACTCCCAAAAGGTTTTGTGAAGCTGCCATTTTATTATCCTCACATTAGAATTATTAGCATTAGCCCAGTGCACAAACGCAGCGAGACTAACTTATGGCAACACAAAAGAAAACATGGGAGCAGTGGAGATGAGGAGGTGTCGGCGTTCTGGCGATTTACTCGGAAGGCTTCAGTAGAAGCTGCTGGGAGTCCCAGCAGCTTCTACTGAAGCCTTCCCCAACTCCGGGGACTTCCGGCCGGGGACTCCGGGTGGCAGTATACGCCGTGAAGTGGTTTGCGGCCTGCCAGTAAACCCAAAGCAGAAGAAGAAGAAGTGACGTCAGCGGCTTCATTTGCCTAATCCTCCCCCAGGAACTCATTGCGGTGTGAACGCGATCTGCTTTAGTTCATCAGAACTAAAAGAGTTCTCATGAACTGAGTTCTCATGAACTATTGTGGGAAAAGAACTTGGTGTGAACGCCCCAAAAGAGGACGTGCAGACGCTGTGTCTTTATACTAAGTGTGTGTGCTGTGTCCCTACAGGGTGTTTATACTAAGTGTGTGTGTTGTGTGTCTGCAGGGTGTTCAAGTGCACGCTGTGTCCCTACACCACGGTCAGTCAGTACCACTGGAGGAAACACCTGAGGAATCACTTCCCCAGCAAACTGCACACCTGCAGCCAGTGCTCATACTTCTCTGACCGCAAGAGCAACTACATCCAGCACATCAGGACACACACAGGTACACACACACACACACACACACACACACACACACACACACACACACATACACACACACACATACACACACGCACACATACATACACACATACATACATACATACATACATACATACATACATACATACATACATACACACACACACACAGGTACTCACACATACTGCATACTACATGGCTTTGTGCGTATCTTGCGGTGTGAGCTGAGCTGTGTGGTTTCTGTATTTCTCTGAACAGATTTTGGTCTGGAGGTTTTAAAGTGCTTTCAGATAAAGATGTGTTGTTTCCTTCGTAGCAGAGTCTTGATAACTATGTTGTGTGTGTGTCGTACAGGTGTGCGTCCCTTCCTGTGTCTGTACTGCGATTACTCCAGTTCTCAGAAGACCCACCTGACCCGCCACATGAGGACTCACTCCGGTAAGAGGTCCACACTCTAGTGTAGTAGTAGCATTAGTAGTAGCTGTTAGCATTAGTAGTAGCAGTTAGCATTGGTAGTAGCTGTTAGCATTAGTAGTAGCAGTTAGTAGTAGTAGTAGTATTAGTAGTAGTAGTAGTAGTAGTAGTAGTTGTTGTTAGCAGTTGTAGCATTAGTTAGCAGTAGTTGTTGTTAGCAATAGTAGTAATTTTATTAGTAGTAGCAGTTAGTGTTAGTTAGCATTAGTTAGCAGTATTAGCATTAGTAGTAGCAGTTAGTGTTAGTTAGCATTAGTTAGCAGTATTAGCATTAGTCAGCAGGAGAATCATGTGATTGCTGATGAGGTCATGTGTTCTCTCTCACTGTTAACATGTCTGTGTTGCTCTCACTGAAGCGCTCGCTGTTGGATTAACATGGTAACGTGACACGCAGTACAAGTACATGCTGTGTGTACCTGTGTTGTGTTGTGTACCTGTGTTGTGTACCTGTGTTGTGTACCTGTGTGTGTTGTGTACCTGTGTGTGTTGTGTACCTGTGTTGTGTACCTGTGTGTGTTGTGTACCTGTGTGTGTTGTGTACCTGTGTGTGTTGTGTACCTGTGTGTGTTGTGTACCTGTGTGTGTTGTGTACCTGTGTGTGTTGTGTACCTGTGTGTGTTGTGTACCTGTGTGTGTTGTGTACCTGTGTGAGTGTCCCCACTGAAGCAAGCCTGACAGAATGAACATAGAACAATAGAATAGAGGAAACCACTGTGCAGTAATCAGTGTTGGTGCTTTGGTATGTAACGCGTTACAAAAGTAACGAGTAGTTACAGTTAGTAGTATATTACTTTTGCTGTCACAAGTGAATGTAACGCAGGTTACTAATGAAATGTGGGTAATATCCTACCGTTTACAATTCTCAGTAACGCAGTAGTACAACACATTTTTTAACACGAAATTTAATGTTGTTTTGTTTTTTTAAGAATTCACCAACATCGCCCCATTCCGACACCAGAGAAAATGGCTTGCCGGTAGATTATAGGAATAGTAAACCTGGTGTTTACGTAATCAGGTCAGGCTGATCTTGATGAGCATGAAGCGGTGTTCTTTTCCCCATTAATGGACCAAGTCGCCTGCACATTATCCCGCTTACTACACGGCCAGATACTAAACAAACTAAGGAATCGACTCCCAATATTAATTGAAATGATTTTATTGACTTAAAATGATCATATTTCTTCCGCTAAGAAAAAAAAAAAACTCCGTTCCACGGCGCACCAGCGGCTGGAACTGCGACAACAACTTTACGGCAGCACTGTCCAACTCTGTTCACAGTTTCTGATCCACTAACAAGTCCTTAAACTCTGCAGAGCCCACACCGTGTTCCTGTTAGTGTTTACTTCCTCTCTGCCTTCTTCTGTTCATTTATCTGACGTCTTTTACCCTCTTTTCCTTTCTCTTTCTTGATCCTCCTTAGCAACGGAATTGACCAATCAGAATCGAGTATTCAACTAAGCCGTGTAATAAAAGTTGTTAGTAGCCTTAAGGGCCTACACAGTTGCTGCACTAAACTACATTTTAGCATTTAAAATACCTAGCCATTATTTTGCGGTTATTTTGGTGAAAGTAACTCAAAAGTAATATAAAAGTAGTTTAACTCATTACATTTCAGAGACAGTAATATTGTAATCTAACTTATTACTTAAAAAGACAGTAATAAGTAATATGTACTGTATTACATTTTGAAAGTAACTTGCCCAACACTGGCAGTAATGCAGATGGAGTAATATATATATATATACATGTCAGATAAATACAATAATCTAATGCTGCAGAGACAGTGAGTGCACGAGTCTGTAAACATGCAGACAGAATCAGAAGTGAAATAGTGCTGTAGTGATCAGATGAGAGGTTCTGAAGGCATGACTGCATGAAGATGCTGCTGCATGAACCCCTCTGCTGTCTCACCTGTACCCTCACATCACTTCCTGTTTGACCTCCTCTTTACTTCCTGTGTGCAGGTGAGCGTCCTTTCAAGTGTGAGACTTGTAACTACCTGGCGGCGAACCAGCACGAAGTGACCCGCCACGCCCGGCAGGTCCACAACGGACCTAAGCCTCTGTCCTGCCCGTACTGCGAGTACAAGACCGCCGACCGCAGCAACTACAAGAAGCACGTGGAGCTGCATCTCAACCCGCGGCAGTTCGTCTGCCCGCTCTGCAAGTACGCCGCCTCCAAGAAGTGCAACCTGCAGTACCACCTGAAGTCCAGGCACGCCGGCTGCGGAGTGGTGCTGGACGTCTCCAAGGTCAAGCTGCGCAACAAGAAACACGGTAACGAGGAACACGCTGAATCCAGAACGGGCAAGATGGACCATTCATCCGGTGTGGACGACGAGGACGACGTGGACGACGTGGACGAGGACGTGGAGTCGAGCCCCATCAATCTGTCAATCAAGCCCAGCGTCAACCAACCGCTGCAGAGCGAGGTGCCGGACAAGGCTCCGAAGAAATCCACCAACCCTCCTGAGAAAGAGAAGGTTCTGAAGGGGAAGGTGGAACCAGAGAAGAAGGTCACAAGGCAGAAGAAGAACCTTCTAGAGGCAGAGACTCCCATCCCAGAGAAGGTCAGGAGACGTGTCAAGAAACTGCCGGTGGAGAAAACCACCACCAAGGACCAAGCTCCAGGAACTGAAGAGCCACAGAGACCAGAGGAGGAAGAGGAGCGGATCCCTGAGAGGAAGAAGAACAATGGGAAAGAGAACAAAGGCCTCAGTAAGCCGAGGAAGTCTGCGTCAAAGAAGTCTGAGGAACCAGAACCAGTTAAAGAACCTGAGCAGAGCCCAGTCTCTCCTGAGGAACCAGAACCTGAGCAGAGCGCAGTCTCTCCTGAGGAACCTCATAAGGTCAGGAAGAGGAAGGCAGTGGAAGCTCTGGACCTCTCCAAGAAGTCCTCGTCTGAGACTCCATCCAAGACCCGGAGAGGGAAGAGACCCGCTTCAGAAGAAACCAAGAAGACCAGCGAGACGACCCGGGCCCCAAGAGGGTCCAACGGGACGAGTCCTGGGAACACCAGGAAGACCAAGAAGACCAAGAAGTCCTCAGACCTTCAACAAACCGTGAAGGCAGAGAAGGACCAGAAGACTTCATCCTCCAAGACAGGAACCAGACCCTCCAAGACAGAAACCACACCCTCCAAGACAGAAACCACACCCTCCAAGACAGAAACCACATCCTCCGAGCCCTGCCTGACAGAAACCACATCCTCCAAGACAGAAACCACATCCTCCGAGCCCTGCCTGACAGGAACCACATCCTCCAAGACAGAAACCACATCCCCCGAGCCCTGCCTGACAGAAACCACATCCTCCAAGACAGAAACCACATCCTCCGAGCCCTGCCTGACAGAAACCACATCCTCCAAGACAGAAACCACATCCCCCGAGCCCTGCCTGACAGGAACCACATCCCCCGAGCCCTGCCTGACAGGAACCACATCCTCCAAGACAGAAACCACATCCCCCGAGCCCTGCCTGACAGAAACCACATCCTCCAAGACAGAAACCACATCCTCCAAGACAGAAACCACATCCCCCGAGCCCTGCCTGACAGGAACCACATCCTCCAAGACAGAAACCACATCCTCCAAGACAGAAACCAAATCCTCCGAGGCAGAAATCAAATCCTCCGAGCCCCGCTTGACAGGAACCAGACCCTCCAAGACAGGAACCAGATCTTCTGAGACAGGAACCAGCCCTGCGAAGAAGAAGAGGAAGGTCTCAGCGGTTGAAACCCCTCCACCAGTTCCTGAACAGCCTCTGAAAGAAACCTCAGAGGAGATGGAGGTTTCCCCCCCCTGCAGCTCCGGTGAAGACACGCCTTCTCTGGCTGAAAACCGCCCTGCGCCCACGTTCGTTAAACCCCCCCCGCCCTCTCTGGTGCTTCCAGGCCCGCGCAGCAAACCCTCGGACGCAGAGGAGGACGAGGGGGTCCACAGCAGCCAGGAGGGGGGCAGCGACATCAGCGACAGCGCCTCCGAGGGCAGCGACGACTCCGGACTCAACGGAGCCCGGTCAGGAAAGATGGCCAACGACCCGGAGACGCCCACCGACGAGATCCCCACCCCCACGGAGCTCAAGAGCCACCTGTGCATCTTCTGCGACCGCACCTTCCCCCTGGAGGTGGTCTACCGGCGCCACCTGAACCGGCACCTGGTCAACGTGTACTACATGCATGACGGCACCGCCAGGGCCCAGACCTGAGGACCTCCGTCTCCTTAAGACTGTCATCTGGACCATTAACAGTGAGCTCTGTGAGCTGGACTCTGACCTGGGACTACTTTCCTGTCTTGACCTGGGACTGCTTTCCTGTCTTGACCTGGGACTACTTTCCTGTCTTGACCTGGGACTACTTTCCTGTCTTGACCTGGGACTACTTTCCTGTCAAGCTCCTGTTGTTACAGGGTTGTGAACATTAACGGACAGGTGGAGTCCCTGAACTCACCGATCCGTGGTGAACCCCCCCCCAGTCACAAAGTGCCAAAACACCTTATTTTCCAGGCCTTATTCTTTAAGAGTTCCTTTGTTTAAATGTGAATTGATGAAGAGGATCTCCCCCTGCTGGGCGTCCCTGAGCGCCGCCTGGCAGGCTCATGTTTCCCTGCTTCCCTCAGACAGACCGCAGTTAGGGCTGAGAGAGTTACAGGTGATGTTAGGACACTCAGAAAGATTATTTTTGTATTGCTGAGAAACGCTTTTTGTTTTTGAGGGTTATCCCCCTGACGATTAACTGAGATGTTACAAGGTGTGTGAGGGCTGCTTTAGGTCAGAGAAGGATACAGAGCAGAGGAAGGAGGGTCACACCCAGAGATGAAACTCTGAGGTTAAATTGATTAATTTAGGAGAGAAGACTCAGATTTTAAAATAAAGAATCTGGAAAAATATATTAATTTTTTCGTCCGATTTCAGTTTACTTGTTTTTCTCCAGAAATGATTAACTTGTTTTCCTCTGAATCTTGTTGTTATTTACCTTCTCCGTCATGTTGTCCTTCAGATCTCACCTTGTGTCTTCATGTGTATCTGGAACCAGCTCTGAACTCTGTGTGTTTGAGTTATAAACCTTAAGATGAGATAACTGAAGGATCAAATCATAGTTTTATTTAAAACGCAGTGCCTTTGACAATCAGCTGCTCCATGTCCATCAGACAGGCGGAGGGATCTGCTGTTGTGATGAGGATCAGCTGCTCCATGTCCATCAGACAGGCGGAGGGATCTGCTGGCGTGATGAGGACCAGCTGCTCCATGTCCATCAGACAGGCGGAGTGATCTGCTGTCGTGATGAGGACCAGCTGCTCCATGTCCATCAGACAGGCGGATTGATCTGCTGTCGTGATGAGGACCAGCTGCTCCATGTCCATCAGACAGGCGGATTGATCTGCTGTCGTGATGAGGACCAGCTGCTCCATGTCCATCAGACAGGCAGAGGGATCTGCTGTCGTGATGAGGACCAGCTGCTCCATGTCCATCAGACAGGCGGAGGGATCTGCTGTCGTGATGAGGTGTCAATAATACAGTGCAATATAAACCAAAGCTCTCTGCTCTCACCTTCATCATCGTCAGCTGTCTCACCTTCATCATCGTCAGCTGTCTCACCTTCATCATCAGCTTCTCATTATGGACCACCTGGCTCTTCCTGTGTTACACATTTCTGCTGTCATCTATCTCTGTGTATAATACTGCATACTGTGTGTATAATGCTGCATACTGTGTGTATAATGCTGCATACTGTGTGTACTGTGTGTATAATACTGCATACTGTGTGTACTGTGTGTATAATACTGCATAATACTGCATACTGTGTGTATTATACTGCATACTGAGTGTACTGTGTGTATAACACTGCATACTGAGTGTACTGTGTGTATAATACTGCATACTGTGTGTATAACACTGCATACTGAGTGTACTGTGTGTGTATAACACTGCATACTGAGTGTACTGTGTGTATTATACTGCATACTGAGTGTATAATACTGCATACTGTGTGTACTGTGTGTATAATACTGCATACTGTGTGTATAATACTGCATACTGTGTGTATTATACTGCATACTGAGTGTACTGTGTGTATAACACTGCATACTGAGTGTATAACACTGCATACTGAGTGTACTGTGTGTATTATACTGCATACTGAGTGTATTATACTGCATACTGAGTGTACTGTGTGTATTATACTGCATACTGTGTGTATTATACTGCATACTGAGTGTATAATACTGCATACTGAGTGTATCTGTGATTACAGTAAACATCTGAGGATAAACCTGCTGTCTTTTTTTATTCGTCAATGACTTCAGTAAACAGCCTTACTCCTGCAACACAGTGACATCACTCTGTAACACAGTGACATCACTCTGTAGTGACATCACTCTGTAACACAGTGACATCACTCTGTAACACAGTGACATCACTCTAGTGACATCACTCTGTAGTGACATCACTCTGTAGTGACATCACTCTGTAACACAGTGACATCACTCTGTAACACAGTGACATCACTCTGTAGTGACATCACTCTGTAACACAGTGACATCACTCTACCTCGTAGGGTTGCAAAATTCCGGGAATTTTCAAAGATGGAAAGTTGGCTCTTGATAGGGAACTTAAATATAGTTGGGGAAAGTATATTTAAGCATAATCTTGACTAAAACAAACATACCATTCAAGTACACTTGAATATCCATGCCATAGCACACTGCTTACTGCATGGCTATTGAGACCACACCCCCTACAGGCACTGTGCATGCCTCCATCACATGCACACATGATTTCGAGAAGACTGAATCACACTTTTGAGCCCAAAGCACAAGACGAATGAAGCCACATCTTTTCATTTCACATTTTGAATGGGACTTTGTGGGGATATTTGGATGGGGGGTGCATTTTTGTTCATATTTTAATGAGTGGGGTTGGGGGGTATCAGTAATATTGAACTCAACATTCCTGTTTTTGTTCTTCAATGAAACAAATAATTGTTCAATAAAATAATTAAAACTTGTTCTGTTCTACTTTAAAAAAAAAAGACATTTAAATTAAAAATAATCTGTTGAAATGTCATGTTTTTTTGTTTAATTTTGCATCGAATATTTCCAAAATTCACCAGCTTAACTTCCCATGGAAACTTTACGGAAACTTTCCGCCCCTTTGCAACCCTAGTACCTAGTGACATCACTCTGTACCTAGTGACATCACTCTGTAACACAGTGACATCACTCTGTACCTAGTGACATCACTCTGTAACACAGTTACACTGTAAATTAGATGTGAGCTGTGCTCTTAGTGCTGATGAGCTTATCTCCATGTTTGACTCGACATGTACCCTAACACTGGAATCTGTTGCTCCTTTTACGCTTAGACGCACCAAAGTTCTATCAGAGCCGTGGCTCAATGACTGTACTCGTGCTCTCAGACGCGCTTGCAGGCGTGCAGAGAGAAAATGGAAAAAAGATAAACTCCATGTCTCCCTAGAAATCCTTCGTGCTTGCCTTTCTGACTACCAGACGGCAGTCAAAGCCAAAACAGAGCACATTTCTCTGTTCATCTCCAAAAACAGCCATAAACCTCAGGTTCTTTTTAATGTCCTCAACTCTATCATTAATCCCTGTGATGTTTCTTCTATTGTCCCATCGACTACTCTCTGTGATAAGTTTCTTACATTTTTTATTGAAAAAGTATCTGCTCTTAGGCTAGCCCACACTAGTGCTACCCCAGATCCTGCTCCTTTTCTGTGCCCTGCTGTCCTCGACCACTTTGAGCCTGTATCCCTCTCTTCTCTCTCGGATGTAGTCAAGCACCTGCGGCCGACAAACTGCACCTCAGACAGCATTCCCTCTCGCCTTCTCAGAGATGTTTTGGAATCAGTTGGTGCAAGTATTTTATTACTTTTAAACACCTCTTAGCTCAGGATGTGTCCCAGCTGCCTTCAAACATGCTGTGGTTAAGCCACTACTTCAAAAGAAAAATCTCGACCCCTCCATTCTCGCAAATTTTAGGCCCATCTCCCAGCTACCTTTTTTATCTAAAGCCCTGGAGCGAGTAGTCTACGCCCAGCTGCAGTCTTTTTTAACCATGCATGGAATCCATGAAAAGTTTCAGTCTGGCTTCAAACCCATGCACAGCACTGAAACAGCCCTTTGAAGAGTTTTTAATGATCTGCTCCTAGCCGCCGACTCAGGTAGCCCAGCTGTCTTGATGCTGTTAGACCTGACAGCTGCCTTTGACACTGTGGACCATAGCATCCTGCTGTCACGGCTTGAACAGTCCGCTGGCATCACAGGCTCTGCCCTTGCATGGTTCAGGTCCTACCTGACAGACCGTAGCTTCTCAGTGCAGCTAGGTGCCTTCTCCTCTGCCAAAGCCCCTCTTACCTGTGGGGTTCCCCAAGGCTCTATCCTGGGCCCCATCGTCTTTTTACTGTACATACTACCCCTAGGGTCAATTCTCACAAAACACAATATCCCCTTCCACTGCTACGCCGACGATGTACAGATATATCTGCCTCTCAATCAAAATGTCAACTCACTACAGCAGTTGATGGACTGCTTGACAGAGATCAAATCCTGGCTGAGCAAAAACTTTCTCAACCTCAACGAGAGCAAGACTGAGGTCATCTTTTTTGGACCCCAGCCTCCAGCCTCTCCGGTTGATATTCTGGGCTCTCTCAAAAAAAACATCCTCCCCTCTGTCATGAACCTTGGAGTGACCTTCAATAGCACATTTAAATTCGACAAGCAGGTCAGCAGCGTAGTCAAGACCTGCTTTTTTAAATACCACTATTGGCCAAAACCAAGTCGTATTTATCTTTTAATTACTTAGAAAGGGTTATTAACGCCTTTGTTACCACGAGACTGGACTATTGCAACACTCTGTATGTGGGTATGGACCAGGCCTCAATTAAACGCCTGCAGCTAGTTCAAAACGCAGCTGCACGTTTGCTGACTGACCACAAAAAGCGTGACCACATCACCCCTATTCTGGCCTCACTACACTGGCTTCCAGTTCGGTTCAGAATTGATTTTAAACTCCTTTTATTTGTTTTTAAAGCTTGTCATTTGTTGTCTTCTGTTTGCGATTGTAGTAAAGTGTTTTTATTGCTTGTACAGCACTTTGGCTCGACCAAAAATCGTTTTAAAAATGTGCTATATAAATAAAACTTGATTTGATTTTACAGTGACATCACTCTGGAACACAATGACATCACTCTGGAACACAGTGACATCACTCTGGAACACAGTGACATCACTCTGGAACACAGTGACATCACTCTGGAACACAGTGACATCACTCTGGAACACAGTGACATCACTCTGGAACACTGGTGGTTATAATAAAGATAAATAGCACTGTGTGGTCCTGAGTGTCTTCAGCCCCCCCCCCACATTCATCTGTACCTTTTGATCAAATAAAGATTTTCCAGATGAACTTGTGTTATTATTTATTCATAAACAATCCTTTACATTAACAGACGTGTAGAAAAACATGTTTACATCATAAACATGTTTTTGTACACGTTTACATCATATGAAATATTCCATCAGCAGCTTCTGAGTCTCAGAGGGGAGGGGCTCAACAGGAAGTCCTTCAGAGTCTCAGAGGGGAGGGGCTCAACAGGAAGTCCTACTGGATCCTGACCAGGTTAACGAGGTCATGTGACGTCTGTCTGTCCATCTCAGTTCTTCTTCCCCTCCTCTCTCTGCAGCACCACGTGCTTCAGGGTCCTGTAGGCCACGGACTTCCTGATCCTGTCTCCCTTCAGCTTCACCAGGTGAGGCAGGAGGGGGGGGGGTCCTCAGAGAGAAGGAGGCGTCCTCTGGGCCGTGGAGACGCAGAAGCAGCTGATCACCTGGAGGGGCCGTCACTGAGACCCACCCTGAGGACAGAGGACAGGGTTAGAGGACATACACACCTTAAAGGTCTCCTTGTAGCCCCCCCCCCCCTCTCTTCCAGCTGTTACTAAGGACATGTCTCTGAAGTGTCCTGCTCCAAACCCCAAACAGATCCTTGTAGCCCCCCCCCCCCCCCTCTCTTCCAGCTGTTACTAAGGACATGTCTCTGAAGTGTCCTGCTTCAAACCCCAAACAGATCCTTGTAGCCCCCCCCCCCCCCTCTCTTCCAGCTGTTACTAAGGACATGTCTCTGAAGTGTCCTGCTCCAAACCCCAAACAGATCCTTGTAGCCCCCCCCCCTCTCTTCCAGCTGTTACTAAGGACATGTCTCTGAAGTGTCCTGCTCCAAACCCCAAACAGATCCTTGTAGCCCCCCCCCCCCCCCTCTCTTCCAGCTGTTACTAAGGACATGTCTCTGAAGTGTCCTGCTCCAAACCCCAAACAGATCCTTGTAGCCCCCCCCCCTCTCTTCCAGCTGTTACTAAGGACATGTCTCTGAAGTGTCCTGCTCCAAACCCCAAACAGATCCTTGTAGCCCCCTCCCCCCCCCCTCTCTTCCAGCTGTTACTAAGGACATGTCTCTGAAGTGTCCTGCCCCAAACCCCAAACAGATCCTTGTAGCCCCCCCCCCCCCCCTCTCTTCCAGCTGTTACTAAGGACATGTCTCTGAAGTGTCCTGCTCCAAACCCCAAACAGATCCTTGTAGCCCCCCCCCCCCCCCTCTCTTCCAGCTGTTACTAAGGACATGTCTCTGAAGTGTCCTGCTCCAAACCCCAAACATATCCTTGTAGCCCCCCCCCCCCCTCTCTTCCAGCTGTTACTAAAGAGCTGACTCTGGGTCAGTAGCTTTAGAGAGAGAGAGTAGATCTCATCAGGAGAACTCTCCCAGCAGAAACTCAGCTAAATGCTGCCGTGATGAAACTCCATATCATGTTCCAAACCACATGAAGGATTCTCTCTGAAACAGTATGGAGCTCAAACTCTTTCTCTCTCTCAGGTTTACCACAAGGTGAGTTCCTTTTGATTTCCTGCTTCTTCACACACACTCTCTCCAGTACAGGTTAGCTCTGAGTGTTAGCATGCTAATGTGAACACAGACCATATTACTTCCAGAACACGTCTCATTGTTTCTGACAGCAACGTTTCTGATTGGCCCGTGGGTGTAAAGCCCGCCCACATTTGAGTAATGTGGTCATGACGCAGCAAATCTGGATCAGCTCCGTTGTTCCCCCGTTTTTAGAGATGTGGGTACGGAGGAAAAGAGAGAGGGGGAACATTAAACTTTATGAACTGTGGAAGAGTTACCTGCAGAGGACAGCTTCAGGTCTCCGGCTGCCTCCTGATACCCCACTCCCTGCAGCCTGAAGTCCTGAGGGACCAGGGGGGGGAAGTCCTTCATCCGCTCGGACCCCCCAGCAGGTACCTGAACACACCACACAGATCAGAGCCTGAACACACCACACAGATCAGAGCCTGAACACACCACACAGATCAGAGCCTGAACACACCACACAGACCTGAACGCACCACACAGATCAGAGCCTGAACACACCACACAGATCAGAGCCTGAACACACCACACAGACCTGAACACACCACACAGATCAGAGCCTGAACACACCACAGAGACCTCTCTCTCTCTCTCACCCCCAGCAGTGTGTGTCCTGCGTGTTTCTCATAGACCTCCTGGACCCTCTCCAGGCTGGAGATGTGGACTGGGATCTGACTGGAGACCAGAACTGAGAACCAGCAGGGCCCCCCACCCTGAGGAGAAACATTAATATCATTAATATGTGATCTATCCCAGATCACTGAGTTTCCTCCCAGTTAGATGTTAACCTCCTGAACTCTGTGAAGAACATCCAGAACATCCATCTGTTTGCTAATTAATTATCTACATAACCCTAACCCTGTACTTGTATACAGACTCTTCTGGCACTATCTGTATTTACTTGCACATCTCAAAACATTCTCTTCACTATTTGATCTGTTTTATTAGTTTTATGTCCTCTATATATTCATGTTGCTCTGCTGGAGGAGGACTTCAGTCTCTCATCTCCATCTCTCCTCTGAAGCTGCTGAGCTCACGGAGATATTTGATTTATCTGTGTTATTTGTTCCATGTCCTAAATATATAAATATATATATATAAATATATATATTTATAAATATATATATATATTTATATATTGTCTTGTTTTGATAACGCACCTTAATGAAGTCGATGCGGGCGAGCCCCCCCACCAGCAGGCTGGCCCCCTCCTGCAGGACGAAGGTCCTCGGGACCAGAGCCTGGGTCGGGACCACTGACATCACTTCCTGTTCAGAGAGCAGCGCCAGGATCTGAGGTCAGAGGTCAGAGGTTACATGTATATATAAATACTAAACATCACTTCCTGTTCAGAGAGCAGCTCTGAGGGGGGAGTCATCACAGATTATTAATATACATCAGGATGAATACGTTGTTACTAAATCATGATTATTAATATACATCAGGATGAATACGTTGTTACTAAATCATGATTATTAATATACATCAGGATGAATACGTTGTTACTAAATCATGATTATTAAAGCACATTATTCCTGAAATATAGATAATGAACATTTTATTATTATTCTGAAGAACCCAGTCTCACGTCGTGCTGCTTGAGGATCCCCGGGGTGTCGTAGAGCCAGTTCCCCTCCTCCTCCTTGCTGCCCTGCTGCCTGGGGGGGCGGGGGGCCGCTGGGGGAGAACGCCAGTATTGTTATTGTTGTTATTGTTGTTATTGTTGGGCGCAGACAGTGGAGGACTTCCTGTTCCCTAACTCTTCCTCTTCTTACCCCGGGATTCCACCGGGTCCGTTCACAGCGATCGCGGCCACTCAAGTCAATGGGTGCTATTCCACCAGACGCGCCGCGTTACGGCTCAGGAAGCGTCCCGGAAGCGTCTCTGAAACGTCCCGGAAGCGTCCCGGAAGCGTTTCAGAGACGCTTCCCGGAAGCTTCCCGGAAGCGTCCCGGGAAGCGTCTCTGAAGCGTCCCGGAAGCGTCTCTGAAACGTCCCGGAAGCGTCTCTGAAACGTCCCGGAAGCGTCTCTGAAACGTCCCGGAAGCGTCTCTGAAACGTCCCGGAAGCATCCCGGAAGCGTCTCGGAAGCGTCCCGGAAGCGTCTCTGAAACGTCCCGGAAGCGTCCCGGAAGCGTCCCGGAAGCATCCCGGAAGCGTCTCTGAAACGTCCCGGAAACGTCCCGGAAGCGTCCCTGAAACGTCCCGGAAGCGTCTCTGAAACGTCCTGGAAGCGTCCCGGAAGCGTCCCGGAAGCGTCTCGGAGACGTCTCGGCGCTGGGCTCCACTAAAAATAGGCAGCTGATCTATTTTTGACGGAGACGCGAGGCGTTGCTTAGCGCCAGGCAGGAAGTGGACCGGTCAGAGCATCCAGTCAATCCCCAAAGTAAACTCATTTTGCAGACCCTATCCCTCCGTAGTCTTTCAAGTAGGAGGAGCAATGCCAGCGTCCTCCTCCGGTTTGCAGGCACTGTGTAAATTATATATATAGAATAATTATGATGATGAATGCATTACCACTAAAATACTGCAACACATCTTTGATTCATGTCGTTTATAACTGGAATATTAACATTATTATTAACTTTGTCTGTACAAAGTAGCCTGTCCAGGAAATATGCCCAAATCAACAAAAACTGCGAGCCGTTACGCAAGACGCTCCGCTTCTGAAATGGTTTGACGCTGTAGGAGGTCGGATCAAAACCGCGGCGCAGACGGACCCGGTGGAATCCCGGGGTGAGACAGGTGAAACTAGTCTCTATTTGAAAGGTCGTTTATGAAGACTGAAGTCTGGGAACAGGGGGATGTTTCGGGGCCAAAAGGCCGCCCCTCTCTAGCCCACTGAGTCACAGCGCCCCCTGCTGCTCGCACTGAGTCACAGCGCCCCCTGCTGCTCGCACTGAGTCACAGCGCCCCCTGCTGCTCGCACTGACTCGTTAACAAAGAGACTCTGAAGGTGATTTCAGCTTTTCTTAACAAACGTCTGCTTTCAAAGAATTAAAGATAAACTTCTGTCTCTCTGACATGTTGTTGTTGTTGTTGATGATAGCAACTGACCTGCCTGGGTCTCCCCCCCCTCCCCCAGAGCCAGGCTGTCCGGGTCAAACTGGATCTCGTCTCGAGGGGGGGGGGGCGGTTCTGAACGTCCTCCCAACACGACCTGGGGGGGGGGGGGGTAGGTTAGGATTTATTCTCCTCCTCTTACATCACATTCACTCAGAGGTTTAACATCACCCAGGTCCCCCCACCCCCCCCCTCAGGTCCCCCCCCCCTCACCTGTCAGGTACCCCTGTCTCTTCAGGTGTTTCTCCCTCTCTCTCTCCTCCTCCGTCAGCTCTCTCTCCTCACTCAGACGCTCCTCTCGTCTGAACATCCTGTAGGGAGTCGGGTTAATGATGGGGAACTTCAGCAGGTCCAGAGTGGTCCCTGAACGCACCACAGAGAGAACACAGTTAATACAGCAGGTCCCTGAACGCACCACAGAGAGAACACAGTTAATACAGCAGGTCCCTGAACGCACCACAGAGAGAACACAGTTAATACAGCAGGTCCCTGAACGCACCACAGAGAGAACAGTTAATACAGCAGGTCCCTGAACGCACCACAGAGAGAACACAGTTAATACAGCAGGTCCCTGAACGCACCACAGAGAGAACATAGTTAATACAGCAGGTCCAGAGTGGTCCCTGAACGCACCACAGAGAGAACACAGTTAATACAGCAGGTCCCTGAACGCACCACACAGGGAACACTGGTTGTGTTACTGAACAGCTACACTACATAAACAAAAGTATTGGGACACTCCTCTTAATCGTTGAACTCAGGTGTTTCATTCAGAAAAATAAATAAAATAAATAAAATAAATAAAATAAATAAAATAAATAAAATAAATAAAATAAATAAAATAAATAAAATAAATAAATCTAATGCATGTGTCAGGTATGAGGTGTGGTCTCACCGGGCCAGGGGGACACGGTGGCTCGATGCAGCCGGTCAGCAGCGCGGCTCTTGCAGTAGTCTGACTGCAGCAGAGCGTTGAACAGAGAGGACTTCCCTGCGTTGGAGCTGCCCACCAGGTACACGTCGCTACGGTAACTCCAGGTGCGCTGCAGGCGGGAGACCAGCTGTTCGATGCCGAAGCCCGTCTTGGCGCTGATCAGCTGCACCTCGCTCACTTGCAGCCCGGCGGCCGCGCAGTACGCCTCCAGCTGCCGTCTGATTCGCTGCAGGTAGTTGGGGGCGTCGCCCGGCAGCAGGTCCACCTGGTGGCCGGGAGGAAGAGTCAATCAGAATATATATAACTCATATTTCATCTGGAATTAAAACGGTATTTATATCCATTTAAAGGTCTCCCATTATACTATTTTTAGGCATTTATCACAGGTCTCAGAAATAAAGACATGTCTCTGAAGAGTTCTGCTCCTAACCCCAAACAGATCCTTGTAGCCCCCCCCCCCCCCTCTCTTCCAGCTGTTACTAAGGACATGTCTCTGAAGAGTCCTGCTCCAAACCCCAAACAGATCCTTGTAGCCCCCCCCCCCCCTCTCTTCCAGCTGTTACTAAAGAGCTGACTCTGGGTCTGTAGCTTTAGAGAGAGAGTAGATCTCATCAGGAGAACTCTCCCAGCAGAAACTCAGCTAAATGCTGCCGTGATGAAACTCCATATCATGTTCCAAACCACATCAAGGATTCTCTCTGAAACAGTATGGAGCTCAAACTCTTTCTCTCTCTCAGGTTTACCACAAGGTGAGTTCCTTTTGATTTCCTGCTTCTTCACACACACTCTCTCCAGTACAGGTTAGCTCTGAGTAGTGTATAGAGTAGCTTAGTTAGTGTGTAGAGTAGCTTAGCAGAGTGTAAAGTAGCTTAGTTAGAGTGTAGAGTAGCTTAGTTAGTGTGTAGAGTAGCTTAGTTAGAGTGTAAAGTAGCTTAGTTAGAGTGTAGAGTAGCTTAGTTAGAGTGTAGAGTAGCTTAGTTAGTGTGTAGAGTAGCTTAGTTAGTGTGTAGAGTAGCTTAGTTAGTGTGTAGAGTAGCTTAGTTAGAGTGTAGAGTAGCTTAGTTAGTGTGTAGAGTAGCTTAGTTAGTGTGTAGAGTAGCTTAGTTAGAGTGTAGAGTAGCTTAGTTAGTGTGTAGAGTAGCTTAGTTAGAGTGTAGAGTAGCTTAGTTAGTGTGTAGAGTAGCTTAGTTAGAGTGTAAAGTAGCTTAGTTAGAGTGTAAAGTAGCTTAGTTAGTGTGTAGAGTAGCTTAGTTAGTGTGTAGAGTAGCTTAGTTAGTGTGTAGAGTAGCTTAGCAGAGTGTAAAGTAGCTTAGTTAGAGTGTAGAGTAGCTTAGTTAGTGTGTAGAGTAGCTTAGTTAGAGTGTAAAGTAGCTTAGTTAGAGTGTAGAGTAGCTTAGTTAGTGTGTAGAGTAGCTTAGTTAGTGTGTAGAGTAGCTTAGTTAGTGTGTAGAGTAGCTTAGTTAGAGTGTAGAGTAGCTTAGTTAGTGTGTAGAGTAGCTTAGTTAGTGTGTAGAGTAGCTTAGTTAGTGTGTAGAGTAGCTTAGTTAGTGTGTAGAGTAGCTTAGTTAGTGTGTAGAGTAGCTTAGTTAGAGTGTAGAGTAGCTTAGTTAGTGTGTAGAGTAGCTTAGTTAGTGTGTAGAGTAGCTTAGTTAGTGTGTAGAGTAGCTTAGTTAGTGTGTAGAGTAGCTTAGTTAGTGTGTAGAGTAGCTTAGCAGAGTGTAAAGTAGCTTAGTTAGAGTGTAGAGTAGCTTAGTTAGTGTGTAGAGTAGCTTAGTTAGAGTGTAAAGTAGCTTAGTTAGAGTGTAGAGTAGCTTAGTTAGTGTGTAGAGTAGCTTAGTTAGTGTGTAGAGTAGCTTAGTTAGAGTGTAGAGTAGCTTAGTTAGTGTGTAGAGTAGCTTAGTTAGTGTGTAGAGTAGCTTAGTTAGTGTGTAGAGTAGCTTAGTTAGTGTGTAGAGTAGCTTAGTTAGTGTGTAGAGTAGCTTAGTTAGTGGTGTAGAGTAGCTTAGTTAGTGTGTAGAGTAGCTTAGTAGTAGGTGTAGAGTAGCTTAGTTAGTGTGTAGAGTAGCTTAGTTAGTGGGTAGAGTAGCTTAGCAGAGTGTAAAGTAGCTTAGTTTAGATGTGTAGAGTAGCTTAGTTAGTGTGTAGAGTAGCTTAGTTAGAGTGTAAAGTAGCTTAGTTAGAGTGTAGAGTAGCTTAGTTAGAGTGTAAAGTAGCTTAGTTAGAGTGTAGAGTAGCTTAGTTAGAGTGTAGAGTAGCTTAGTTAGAGTGTAGAGTAGCTTAGTTAGTGTGTAGAGTAGCTTAGTTAGTGTGTAGAGTAGCTTAGTTAGTGTGTAGAGTAGCTTAGTTAGTGTGTAGAGTAGCTTAGTTAGTGTGTAGAGTAGCTTAGTTAGTGTGTAGAGTAGCTTAGTTAGTGTGTAGAGTAGCTTAGTTAGTGTGTAGAGTAGCTTAGTTAGTGTGTAGAGTAGCTTAGTTAGTGTGTAGAGTAGCTTAGGATTTTGTGACTGTTGCCTTTAGTTTAGCTGTGTTTTTGTACAGACTCCTTTTGTTAGTTGTCCCACTTTTAAAGTGAGGTTTTGTTTTGTTTCTTATTTTAGTGTATTAGTATTTGTTTCCCTGTATGCAATTAGACTCCTTTTTAGAGTCCTCCTTTTGTTTGGTTATTTATCAACCTGTGCCCTTTTGGCCTTTTGTTTGTTCCAGGCTGCATGCCTGTTGTTTGTTACCCTGCTATTTAAAATAAACCCATTATAATTATACCAATTCCAACTGGTGTGTGTTGCATTTCCTCATCCCTAGTGGGAACGTAACAGTTTCTGACAGCAACGTTTCTGATTGGCCCGTGGGTGTAAAGCCCGCCCACATTTTAGTAATGTGGTCATGACGCAGCAAATCTGGATCAGCTCCATTGTTCCCCCGTTTTTAGAGATGTGGGTACGGAGGAAAAGAGAGAGGGTTCATTTTCTGACACTTAGTGAGTCTCCTGACACACCGGGGACACACCGGGGACACATGGTGATGTAGAAAAGACATCAGAGAGTGCATTTTGCATGATAGGAGACCTTTAAAGAATGTAAGCAGACCTTGTTGCCGAGCACCACGATGCGCTTGTTGTCCCCCACCATGGAGATCAGGTCGGAGGGTAAAGAGTCGGGGAGGTCCAGTAGGTCGACCACCAGCAGCAGCAGACCCTGAAGGGGGCGCAGCCTCTTCACCACCGCAGCGTATCCCTCCGCCGACAGCTCCACCTGCAGCGCCTGGTTGTGGTGCGTCAGCAGGTGGCAGCGCTGGCACACCGCCTCCCCCAGACCCCCCTCCAGGCGCAGCTCCTTGAACTTGTTGCCGGGCAGATAACCGGGGGCGCCCGCTACGCTGCAGTGCAGCAGCGCGCCGCAACCCGAGCAGCTGACGTCACTGATTGGCTCAGACGCGTCCGGCGCCCCCACCACTTTGTGAACGCCCCCCCCGGACTTCTTCTTCTTCTTCTGCTTCTTTAAAGACACTGCGCTGTCGCCCCCGGGGAACTTCACGTCCTGGAAGTGCAGCTCCGCCCCCTGCAGTGAAGCCCCGCCCCCCTGAAGGGAAGCCCCGCCCCCCAGCGCATGCAGCTGCAGCTCCAGAGCACGCAGCCTCTGAGGGGGGGGGGCAGCAGAGGGAGGGAGGGTCGGGGAGGGGAGGGAGGGTCGGGGGGGGAGGCAGGAGGTCTTTCTCCCCCTCAGGCTCTGCATCTGAAACACCACAGAAGAAGAGTTTAACGTCAGTGCTGGGCAGGGGTGTAGTGCTGATAACCCCCAGATAACTACAGCTCAGACTGAGAGGCTCTGATAACTACAGCTCAGACTGAGAGACTACAGCTCAGACTGAGAGGCTCTGATAGCTACAGCTCAGACTGAGAGGCTCTGATAACTACAGCTCAGACTGAGAGGCTCTGATAGCTACAGCTCAGACTGAGAGGCTCTGATAACTACAGCTCAGACTGAGAGGCTCTGATAACTACAGCTCAGACTGAGAGGCTCTGATAACTATAGCTCAGACTGAGAGGCTCTGATAGCTACAGCTCAGACTGAGAGGCTTTGATAACTACAGCTCAGACAGAGGCTTTGATAACTATAGCTCAGACTGAGAGGCTTTGATAACTACAGCTCAGACTGAGAGAGATAACTACAGCTCAGACTGAGAGGCTCTGATAACTACAGCTCAGACTGAGAGGCTCTTATAAATGTGTCTCACCTGTAAAGTCCACGAACACGAAGGTCTCTTCCTGCCCGGGGTCTACGGTGCAGCCTCTGAGGCCCCTCCCACTTCTCCCACTCAGGCCCCGCCCCCCCGGGATCAGCACCCGCCCCCCATGGATCAGGCCCCGCCCCACCCGTAGGACCCCCAGCAGCTTCAGCATGTTTCCCTTCTCCAACGGGCCCTGAACACACCGCCCTGTTCAAACAGAAGATAGAAGCAGTTTATATATAGTTGTACACTAAACACCCTGGGTTTAACACTCATTTATTGACGCGGGAATGAGGTTTATTAGGGAATGTTTAGATGACCACAGACATCAGAGTGATGTAATTCAGCAGCAGAAACCGACAGGATTTGCATTGGACACGCCCCGCAAACAACGTAGTGGCAGATACTTTTAACCTCAATATCAAGTGCAAGGCAAAACAAGAGAAAGTAAACAACAACAATAAGATGTTGTTACTGAAGGTTTAGCATCAACAGGATGACGTGTACAGGCCGTTAGAGGTTAATGTGTTGGAGTTTAATAACCAGGGTAATTAAACTCATGAATGTGTGTATGTAGATGTAGGTAAAGTACTGGAGAAACAAGCAAGAGTATCTTATATATATATATATATAATATGTACTTGTTATCTGTCCGTAGCGGGTAGCTGCTCCACTTTCTCATTTCCTAAATAACAAACATTAATCCTGAGGGTTTATTTAGATTTAGATGTTATTAATGTCTGTATAAAGTACACGCTGCCTCTCATCTGTGTGTTTCATACTCTATAAAGATGTGTTTACTCCCTGCTGACACACACACACACAGTCACACACAGTCACACACAGTCACACACACACACACACACACACACACACACACACACACACACACACACACACACACACTATATATTCTAACAAGTAACATGTAATGTAATGTAATGTAATATATTTAGTCATGCAGTATATATATACTTCTTGTTTTAATTGACTCGTTACCTGTGTGTGTCCTGATGACGCGGCTACACGTGCTCCGTTCCTCCCTGAGCCTGCATATATATTTACTTTATGCAATATGTAATACAATATATATGATATATGATATAAATATAAGGTCTGTCCTCTAAACAGCGTGCTCTGCGGCTCTACTTCCTGGCCGGATGTGACGTCAAACGCGTCGGTTGTTTATTTTCCGCTGAAACACAGAAAACGTTTTATTTTTGTATAAAACCTGAAATATTTAACTCTCAGGTGTTATTAGAATTAAAACAGCAGCGGCGGGAATACATAATAAATGAATAATTAATGAAAAGTAAATCAAAATAAAGAGATTTAAACATCGCTTCTCTGTGAGGGAAACAGAGGTCTCACTCCTCCTCTCTGTGAGGGAGACAGAGGTCTCACTCCGCCGCAGATTCAGGAACAGAGTATTCCTACACTCTGGTACTTCTACACTTACTCAAGTACAAGATATGAGTACTTCTACACTTACTCAAGTACAAGATCTGAGTACTTCTACTTTTACTCAAGTACAAGATCTGAGTACTTCTACTTTTACTCAAGTACAAGACCTGAGTACTTCTACTTTCACTCAAGTACAAGATCTGAGTACTTCTACTTTTACTCAAGTACAAGACCTGAGTACTTCTACTTTTACTACAAGATCTGAGTACTTCTACTTTTACTCGACTCTCGGATCTCTGACAGAGTGAGACCTCCTGCTCTCTGACAGAGTGAGACCTCCTGCTCTCTGACAGAGTGAGACCTCCTGCTCTCTGACAGAGTGAGACCTCCTGCTCTCTGACAGAGTGAGACCTCCTGCTCTCTGACACAGAGTGAGACCTCCTGCTCTCTGACAGAGTGAGACCTCCTGCTCTCTGACAGAGTGAGACTTCCTGCTCTCTGAGTGAGATCTCCTTGCTGTATCACTGAAGATCTCTGATGGTCACTTCCTGTTAGTCTTTGCAGTTTTCTGTCACTTCTCCTCTCACCATGTTGAGGATCAGATCCTCTCTGAGATCTGCAGCTGCTCTGCTTCCTGCTGCTGCTTCCTCTCAGGTGAGTTTACCTGGACCTGCATCTGGACCTGGTTCTGGTCTGAGACCTGGACCTGGTTCTGGTCTGAGACCTGGTCTTATTCTGTGATCGTTTTAAAGTATTTGGTTTGCAGTCAGGACTTCAGATAATGTGAGGAGTACTCAGATCATGTACTTCAGTTAAAGTACTCAGATCATGTACTTCAGTTAAAGTACTCAGATCATCTACTTGAGTAGAAGTACTCAGGTGTTATATTTCATGTACTTCCTCTCTGTGGTATTTGGTCTCTCGCTCTCAATGATCTTTGGACAGATTCCAGTTTAACATTAACAGACTGTTTCCCAACGAGCAGTCAGAGCAGGTTACTAAGTACTGTTACTAAGTACACAACCTGAGTACTTCTACTGTTACTGAAGTACACAACCTGAGTACTTCTACTGTTACTGAAGTACACAAGCTGAGTACTTCTACTGTTACTGAAGTACACAACCTGAGTACTTCTACTGTTACTGAAGTACACAACCTGAGTACTTCTACTGTTACTGAAGTACACAAGCTGAGTACTTCTACTGTTACTGAAGTACACAACCTGAGTACTTCTACTGTTACTGAAGTACACAACCTGAGTACTTCTACTGTTACTGAAGTACACAAGCTGAGTACTTCTACTGTTACTAAGTACACAACCTGAGTACTTCTACTGTTACTGAAGTACACGACCTGAGTACTTCTACTGTTACTGAAGTACACGACCTGAGTACTTCTACTGTTACTGAAGTACACGACCTGAGTACTTCTACTGTTACTGAAGTACACGACCTGAGTACTTATACTCTTACTGAAGTACACGACCTGAGTACTTATACTCTTACTGAAGTACACGACCTGATTACTTCTACTGTTACTGAAGTACACGACCTGAGTACTTCTACTCTTACTGAAGTACACGACCTGAGTACTTCTACTGTTACTGAAGTACACAACCTGAGTACTTCTACTGTTACTAAGTACACAACCTGAGTACTTCTACTGTTCTTGAAGTACACAACCTGAGTACTTCTACTGTTACTGAAGTACACAACCTGAGTACTTCTACTGTTAATAAGTACACAACCTGAGTACTTCTACTGTTACTGAAGTACACAACCTGAGTACTTCTACTGTTACTAAGTACACGACCTGAGTACTTCTACTCTTACTGAAGTACACGACCTGAGTACTTCTACTGTTACTGAAGTACACAACCTGAGTACTTCTACTGTTACTAAGT